CCTCCAGACAAAACCCACAGCCCCCCCTCGTTCCCATCCTACAGCACTTGGAAACCTTTATAATCTAGTTTGGGCTAGAAACTAGGAGCAGAGTTTGTTGATTTTCTCTTTGGTATGAATTACAGAGGGTTTGAAAAAGCCCTTCCTTGGCTTAACAAGCTCTTGGAGCCAGTGCAGACGTTGCTGCCCTGACCATGCAGGAGACCAAAGGTTCCTCATTTTCTCCTGGCAGATGAATTTCCAACTATGCAAACAAGGGGCTCTTTTTAACAACTGCTTGTTGCACAAACACAATGGTGCTCAGCTATAAAGCAACTTCTCCTGCAAATGTTCTTGTCATCTGTTTACCTCAGAGGCCATTGAATCTTGACATTTTTCCCAGTACAGAGTCTTCTGAGCTATAATTTTGAGATGAACGGTGAAGAATGAGTACTTTGATTCTGAAAGGATTTTATATTCCTTTAGTTCTACAGCAGACCTTCAAATGACAGGTTGGTGTTACCAGAAGCAGTCCTTAGCCTTTGTTGAGAGCTGGTTTTGGAGGAACAGGCCAGGAATGTTGTTCAGGGAGTGATTTCCAAGGTCATGTTTTAAGAAGTACCTTTGTGCCCATGAGGGGCTCCTTCTCTGGCTCTGCCTCAGGCCCCTGTTGGTTCCTCACTGGGCTTTCTTGCTGTACCCCATGGGATCCAGCACCCTGACCTCCACCATGGGCTGTGTGCAACTCACCAGCTGCTGCTGGGCATGGGGAAAAAGAAAAGACTCAGATCTACCTCCCTAGCAAACTTAGGGCGATACTGATGCTCTGCTTGCATGAGTGAGACGGGATTCTGTGTCTCTTCTTCCAGAGAAAATGTTTGTGTGATTGCCTGTCTGACTGTCTGGTTTCTCTGTTTCTCTCAATGCCTATTTAATCTGTTGTTTAGTTTCCACCCAGCTGTATTATGGGCTAAAAGGGGTTTGGGATAACCAGGTTGGTGAAATTTAGCTGCAGGGGGTCTGTAAGAAAGATGAGGACAATCTTTGTAGCAGGGCCTGTTGTGACAGGATGAGGGGTGATGGTTTTAAGCTAAAAGAGGAGAGCTTCAGACTAGATGGCAGGAAGAAATGTTGGATGCTGAGGGTGGTGAGCCCCTGGCCCAGGCTGCCCAGAGAGGTGGTCGCTGCCCCATCCCTGGAACCATCCCAGGGGAGGTTGGATGTGGCTCTGAGCACCCTGCTCTAGCTGCAGATGTCCCTGCTCAGTGCAGGGGGGTTGGACTAGGTGAGCTTTAAAGGCTCCTCCCAACCCCAACCACTCACTCCATGATTCCATGAAAATGGTTGTAATAATTCCTCCACTTAAAGCAAGGCAGGAGGACTCAGTCTGGATGTAGCAGGTCACCTGGTGGGCAGGGTGGTGGATGGGAGCAGAAATGTTGGGGCAGATCAGAAACATTTGTGCAGTGGGGCTGAGAGAAGAACAAGGGATGGGAGGCAGAAAGGGAGGTGAGGAGCAGGAGAAGAGACTCAATGCTTGATGAGCTGTTGGTGAGCTCCAGGACTGTTGTGGTGGGGAGTATTTAGAGGAGTTTGGTACAGATCTGGAAGGAATCAGGCTTCATTTGTCCCTCTGCTCACAGAATGCCTTGTCTTGCAGAAGCCCAGCTGAAGGAGGTGAAGGAGATGCTGGAACAGGAAGGCTTGTCTGAAATCTCTCACAGTACCACCAGTGAACAGATTGCTTATTTACTGGTGGAAAGGACAGTGCTGCTGGAGAAACTGGAGATTGCTGGTCAGAAGTTGAGTTCAGACAGCTACATGGACATGTGCACAGCACAGCCTCAGGTACCTCCAGCTTTAGCTGCTCAGGCTGACTGAAAGCATGCTGACTTCCAGCACTCCCAGCTCATGACTGTTCATTTTAATGATCCTTTAATGAACATGTTTCTGTAGCAAGACCAGTCAAGACCAGTCTTAGCTACTGGGGAACTATGGAGAGAGTGGTGTTGTAGCTGGGCTGGGTGAAGGACAGAGCCAAGGCAAAAATCTTGGACACAGACATGAGATAGGCTGTGAAGAACAACGTGGAGTTTGCTTGAATTCCTCCTGGTCTGTGGTGCCAGAGTGCCCTACTAGGTAGACAGGGCTGTAAATACCTGACTTTTACCCCATTTTCATGCAGGTCTTTAGAGGAATAAGACTTATTCAAGGAAAATGCATTCTTGCATGATCAAGACACCTCCTAAGCTTAATGCTCCTCGTTTCTAATCAAACACAACTTCTCTGCAGCTCCTACTGGGCACCTTGTTTTCTGTGGTTTTAAAACCAGGTGAAAGACACACTGTGGAGATCTATTTTCCAGGAAAACAGTGTCTGTAAAGCAGACTGTTTATTCTCCTCAGATGATGTCATTGCCATCCAAGCTTGTGAACTAGAAACTGTTGATTAAGCTCCCCATTGTTTGGGGTAGCATCATACTTGTTGTACAGAACCATTAGAGCCACAGCAGTGTTACAGGTTAATAGGTTAATTGCTCCTGTTACTCTGTTTACTGGAACATGGAGCCTTTCCTGGTCTCAAATGACCTGTTCTGTGCTTGTTTCACTCAGAGACTGGAGGTCTGGATACGTTCCTGTCTGTTCCAGAAATGAATGCAGCTTTTAGCTAAGCTGCTCAAGCATAAGTGTGGTGTTTTGGGTGTTGTTTTTTTTTGGATGCATCCTCTCTAAGACAAAAAGCCAGGGTGCAAACGCTCAGCTTCGTGTAGTCCCCTCTCTGTGGGGAATTGCTCTTTGAGTTCTCACCTCTCTAGAGCCAAGGTGCAAAATCCTAAAGACAAGCAACCTCCTGGGTGCTGGCAAATCCTCCATGCTGGGTCATGTGTGCAGGCTGCAGGGGAGCAGGGGCTTCAATAAGTGACTTAAAAGAGAGGGATGTGGAGATGTAACCCAGTGTCACTCTGGGAACTCTGGAGTTGGACATGCTCAGCCCAAATAAGTGTCTTTGGGCAAAGCTGAGCCCACAGGCTCAAAAAGGAGAGGAGATCAGAGGTCTTAAAAAATAAAGTAGTGAACCTACAGAGTCCCCAGTACTAGCTGAGACAACTGGAGGATTTTCACAAGGATTTGGGGTAACTCTGGTTGACATATTCTCTTCCAGTATAAGGTGTGATTACAAACCCCCTTCTAATCAAAGGGTGTTGAAACTGCAGCTCCTGCACAGGGGTGTTGAGGGACAGATGGCTGAAGGCTTTCTAGGGATGCTGATTTATTAAAATCTCTTTCTGTGCCAGGATGAGTTTGATCCTGTTCATCAGACATTAGAAGACAAAATCCAACAGCAGCACAAAGCCACACAGCTTCCTGGAGAGGCAGTGAGTGAGGTAACACATTTGCCTGTTTTCTTGCTGATGACATGGCCCATAGTTGGGATTTCAAGCAGTGGGTCTGTTCTTGAGCAGGCTGTGAGGTGTTTTTCTTGGGTTTAGCTGATGGGTTGTGAGTGAGCTCTGAACTTGAGGCTGTGCAGCCACATCAGCATGAGTTCATTGCTTCTGCTGAGAGCCAGGGGTAGCATCTCACCAGCTTGGGGTCAGGGCTGGCTTGTAAGTGCTCACCTGCCTTTCATATGTCAAAGAAATGTCTTTGGAGATGAGTGGACCCAAGTCAAAAGGCTGAGGGAAGGCTGAAATGACTTTTCAGTGGAATCACAGGTCAGCAGGAGCTGTGTCTTTCTCCTGCACCCCAGGGTCAAGTGCAGACTGGGAGAGGAGGTTGACACTGCCAACCTTGGCTCAGGGCTGCCTCTCACAGCAGCTGTGGAACCACAAACATGCAGAATGAACTTGTCCTTGGAGCAAGCTCTTAACAGCACGTGTTGGAGCCCTCTGCTTGGAAACTCTCTTCTATTACATGTCTGAAAATCCATCGTGGTTCATGGCATTGTCTGGGGAGGGAAAACCAGAGTGCAGAAAAAAACCTGCTTCTTGGCATGGCTCCATGGTGAAGGGGGTTGTCCACTGCATGTCCATCTCCTGCCTCTGCAGCAGCTTCCCTGAGCTCACCTGCTCTCTGTTTGTGTCACCACCCTTGTTCTGGGGGGTCAGGAGCAATGTGGAGAGGGGACCTGCCTTGGCCATGTCACTGGGAGGGTTATGTTGTTTCTGTTGGAGCATTAGTCCTTGTGTCTCAGTCCTACAGGGAAGAGCTGGAGAGGGAGCAAGCAGCACGTGCAAGAGCTGAACGAGACCTGGATGAGGCCACCCAGAAGCTGCTGGTGGCTCAGGAAGAGATCCAGAGGTTGACAGATGAGCTGGACACACAAAGAAAGGAGCAGAGCAAAGTTGGTAAGCACTGCTCTTGTGGCCACTCCTAATTACTGTCCTGCACTTAGCCCACTGCTGGTTGGTGTAAGCCTTGGTCTTCTCACCCAGGGGAGCTGGAGGAATGCTCTCTAGTGTCCTCTCTGCTTGGAACATGGAAAAATCAGTGTCAGATCTTAGCCTGGTACCCAGGAGATCCGACTGCAGGCATTAACAGTCACTGATTAATTAGTTCTGAGTAGGAAAAACTGAAACATGGAGGGGAGGAGGGGTTATCTGATCTGGGACTGCAGCTGCAGGGCCTTAGAATAGAGTTGTTTTGGTTGGAAGAGACCTCCAAGATCACCAAGTCCAAGAGTTAACCCAGCACTGCCAGGTCCCCACTGCCCCGTGTCCCTCACACCACATCTCCACAGCTTGGAAACCCCTCCAGGGGTGGGGACTCCACCACTGCCCTGGGCAACCCTCAAGGGGAAGAAATGTCTCCTCAGGGCCAACCTCAACCTCCCCTGGCTCAACTTGCGGCTGTTTCCTTTTGTCCTGTCCCTTGTTTTTGGGAGCAGAGCCCGACCCCCCCCTGGCTCCAGGCTCCTGTCAGGAGCTGTGCAGAGCCAGAAGGTCTCCCCTGAGCCTCCTTTGCTCCAGGCTCAGCACCCCCAGCTCCCTCAGCTGCTCCTCCCCACACTTGGGCTTTAGACACTTCCCTGGCCCCTCGATGTCCTTCTTAGAGTGAGGAACCCAGAACTGACCCCAGGATTTGAGGTGTGGCCTCACTCTTGGCTGAATTCCTCTCTCTGTCTCATGTACAGGGAGAATTTCATGCCCTAGGAGGGGTTGGAGAGGAAATAATGACTTGGTCCACAAACAGAGTAGCTGAAATACATTAGCATGGCTGGACCACCCATGTCTAGGTTCTTCAGATACTGTTTTTGGGATCCTTCCTCATTAGGAGCCATTAGCAAGTGTTCGAAACAGAGTAGCTGAAATACGTTAGCATGGCTGGACCACCCATCTCTAGGTTCTTCAGATGCTGTTTTTTGGGATCCTGCCTCATTAGGAGCCATTAGCAAGTGTTCATAATGAGAGCTCACCAGCAGCCTTGTAATGACTGGTTGGATTCTTAGCACTGCTAAAATTTGCTTAAACTCCTTGTTGAAATAACTGTTGTTGACCACCTTGTAATAATTACATTAAAAAAAAGATGCTGACTGTAAAAATAAAGAGTTTTCTGGAGGGAAATGGCTCTACTTGGTAAAGCTCCTATTGGAGTGGTCCCTAAAGCCAGGTGCTTCAGTGCTACCTCCTACAGGAGATTTCCCAAGCAAACCACCCACTTCTGGATGCTTCTTCTCTGGCTTGTTAATGTTGCCCCAAAATCTGTGACAGAATTTCAGTGGAGAGGAGATGAAGATGTGATGAGACAACACATTCCTGCCCCATGTGCCTTTGCAGAGACTGAGGTGCCCAAGGAGACTGGTTTATGTGCAAACCACAGGTCCTGATGCTGACTCTGTGGCTCACACACAGGACTCAGACCTGGCTAAACCTTCTAGCCAGCCTCCAAACCCATCATTTAGAGCCTTTTAATCACAGGCAGGGAAATGAGCACTCAGTGAGTATTGATTGGTACGTGCCTGGCCCTGGGGATGGAGAGAGTGTTGTGGTGCAGCCTCCATCCAGTAAAAGCTTCTCCAGCTGATGGCTGGGCTGCAGCCTGGGACTCTTCTCAGTGGATTGTAGCCTGCCTGGGGAAGCCTGTGTTTTAGAATCTTAAGCATCAAATGAATAGAAGGCTTTCCAAACTGTGAGTAAGGATTTAATGCTTGTTGTGGCTGTGGGGTTGATGGTGCTGTGAGTGTGGGTGTGCAAGGTTAGGGCTGTAACATCTGAGTGGTGTGTCCCCACCTTCCTTCTCCTCCTGACCAGCTTCAGAGCCAGCTGCTCTGTAAAGAACTTGATTTTCTAATCCAAACCTAAAAGGACATCTTTGATCTGTAGTAAAACTCCACTTAAATGGCCTCTTTTGCTTCAGTGGCAACCTGCAGCTGCTTGAAAACACAAGGTTGCTCCTGGCCAGTTTGTGGCTTAATTATTGGGTCTTTGGTGCTTGGAGGTTTTAAGCTGTGTGCTGAGCTGCTTGCTACTTTAATTGTCTTTCTTTAATTTTCCTTCAACTCTGGATTTAACAGAGGACATTAAAAAGGGTGCAGAGTTTTGTGTTTGGAAGCATACAAATGGACTGCCAAAAACTGTCTCTTTGCTCTCCTTGTAGAATCAGCCTCCTGGTCAGCCCTGCAAGCTCCTGAGAGCTGTGGAGAAGAGGTGGATGAATGGAGGGGGTGTGGTAAGTCCCATTAGCTACAAGGAGGGAAGATCCAGAATTTTATCAGGGTTTTCTGTAGTGGTAAACAGGTTTTTCAGCAAAATGAACACTTTGGTAGGAGGTTTTCCTTGTCTTTTATTTTAAACTGCAAAACTGAAACTCCAATAACAAAATCCTTCTTTGAAACAGGGGGTTCAGATTGTGGTGGTTTGGGTTGTTTTTTTTTCCAGACTGGGTCCAAGAGAGAAGGTATATTTTATTTTTGCCTGAAAAGAAGTAAAATTTAAGCTAAAATTTCCTTTGCCCAACGTTAAGCTGAAAAGAGAAAAATCTTTGTTCACCTTTTCTGCAGGGAAAACTACCTTCTCACTAATTTTTGTTAGGCTATCAGTGTATACCTGGACACATTTCTGTTGCTGTGTTCCTAATAGAAATATCTTTTCCTATTTCTTGCACTAGAAATACCAGATATCTGCCTAAATTGGTGTGATGGCTGCATGTGTTTATTGATTCAGGCTTGAAGGGTTGGTGTGCAGCCATAATTTTTCCTGTACTGGCCATTTCATAAGTATTAGTTCTACTACAACACTGATACATGAAGTGTGATTGTGTTTCTGCTTGCAGTGAGTTATGAATTCTATGAGGAAAATAAGAAATAGGGCTGTTTGGGTTTTTTAGAGTTGTTGGTGAAACCCATAACTGAAGTGAGGCATTTTCTGGGCTCTAAACTGAATCCCTCTGGAGAAGCTGCTGGACTCATCTAATAACCATAAAAATAAATAGTGTTGCTGTTGAACCTGGATCTCTAGAAACTTAAACCTCAACTATTGCAGTGAGAGGATGTGTTCCCAGGTGCCTGGGGAGCTCCCCTCTGTGTTGTCACACACATGGAAATGCAATGTCAGAGATTATTCATCTGGTGGCCCCACTCGGAGCTTGGTGAAGGTCCAAAAGTGCTGTTGGGGACTTGGTTTCTCTGCTCTGTGCAGCTGGGACTGAGCTACAGAAGGCCATGGAGCACAACAACAGGCTGGACAAGGAGATCCTGGCACTGCGAGCACGGGTCCAAACCCTTGACTTGGAAAGAAAAGCATTCCTTGATCTGGTGAGCACCCTCCTCCTGCTGCTGGATCTCCCTCTCTGCTGTGGCACCAACAGGTCTCTGCGTGGCTCGTGCTCCTGGGCTGGCTCCTGATGTTCAGCCCTGCTCCTGAACCTGCCCTGCCTCTCTCTTTCCCCTCTCTTTTCTGCAGTGAGTCTTTCCAGAGCTGCCTTGCTGATATTTCCTGGCTCACGGAGTAATAAGCTTTAGGAATAAATATCCAGAGAGTATTTTAAAGTAGCTGCTGTTCCTGCAGCCCAGAAACACTTCAGCTCTCGTGGCATCCTTCAGGGTAGGAAGAGTTTGATGCCTCACAGCACACAGAGGGGGCTCTGCATGCTCAGACTGGGGATGTGCTTTAGGGCTGGCAGCAGAGCTCCAAGTGGTAGCCAAGAGTGAGTCTGTGAGTGAGTCACCTCACTAATAACCTGCTAGTTATTAATATTATTATTAGCAGGTTATTATTATAATATAATAATAACCTGCTAGTTAGTAACCTGCTAATAATAATAATATTCTATGGATCCTATTGATAACAGCAAAGACTAAAAGGTGTCCTCAGAAATAGTGGCTGTGATCTGCCTACCCCTCTGCACTCAGTCCTGCTTGGTAAAAGGATGGGTACAACATGTGCATCATCAGTGACTGAAATAAGTGAAGAAAAGTCACTTTAACCCAGTGTGGTGTTCCCCCTTTTACCTCTCTGAGTAGTCTGAGGCCACCCAGCTGAAGCAGCCACATGATCTCAACCCAACCCCTCAAGAAGAGTTGTTAATATTAATAAATCTGCTGTTTATCTGCAGCAAGTTTGGGAGGAATCTTCAATCTCAAAGGCAGCAAGCTGAAGGTTCAGCAAAAATAAAAGCCAATGTTTTCCTTTTGAAGGTTGAACAGCTCAAAGAAGAGATCTGTGAGTATCAGAGGAGTGAGAAGCAAGGGCTGCCCCTGCCTGTGCCAGCTGAGGCTGAAGAAGTCACAGTGTCCTCCCTGCAGGTATTGTCAAGGGCTTTTTGGTTGCTGTTCTGGAAAGCAAATTGGTCCAACAGGCCCCCTCTGCCTTTCAGCCCCCTGCTGTGAGTGAAGACCTGTGGTTTGTGGTGCAGAAGTGCTCGTGTTCTCCTTCCCACCTGCACGTGAGTGCTTCTTGTGTGGGTGTGCTCTAGGGTTTATGTCACCCCACCATGTAAACAGCACAGCTGTTGGTGTAAACTAACACCCACTGATGCCTTCCTGTTGTTATGGATCTTGGGGCTGTCCTTATTTCTCTGGGACAGGCTCCCAGGCTCTTGCTCAGCTTCTTCCTGACCCTCCTCCTCTTTCTCCTCCTTCTGAGGATGACCTTCCCACTATGACCACTGTACATATAGCTTTGTACACTTTATTTGGGCATTGGTATTAGTTAAATCTCTTTTCTTTTCAACTTGTGATTCTCTTCTCCTATTCCTGATCCCTTCTCTGCTGGGGAGGGGTCACTGGGTGTTAGGGAGCTGCTGTAGTTTGTTTAGCCTGTCCCTGGAGTTAAACATTTTGTTTGACACCCAAAGTTTCTCTGGGCTCCAACTTAAGTCGTTCACCCAGGAGAATTACAGACCATTGATTGAAGAGTTCAAGAGGACATGAAACCATTATGAGGAGCAGGGTCAGGAGGAGCCCAAGCAGGAGACCCCCACCATCCTCAGCAAACTTCTCCCTTTGTGTGCACGATGCATTTCTGGTCTGGGATACACCTTGGAGCAGCTCAGGGCAGCTGCCCTGGCTGACTCCAAACTCCTAATGGCCTGCAGACCATGGCTGGCCCAGGATTCTGTCAGGCAAACCAGGACAGGGGGATTTTGCTCCTGTGGCCAGTGGATTATCTAATGGAGATAGATGTAGAAGATGTAGCTCATGTTTTCTGGTTGTCTCGAGAGACTTGGGTAGCTTTGGAATCACATTGTGCTAAGATTTCAGTCTTAATGATCTGCTAACTTTTCATTTTCTCTTGACACAGGACACAAAGGGTGAAGGGGGGACTGAAGGAGACTGTGTTTCAGGCAAAGCTGGCCTAGAGCAGCATGACAGATGTCAGGGTAGTGAAACACTTCATAAAAGGTAAGCAGTGAAGAAATCCCTGTTGTATGTTCATGGTGGCTTCTCTGCTGCTCTGGTTTGCAGGGTAGATTTAAGTATTGGATTCTTTAGAATACTCTGTGGGACTTTGTTCCTCTGGTGCCAAATTTGGAAGTCTGGAGGTCATGCAGTCCTGAGTGGGTCTGGAGCCCTTGGTATCAAGAATACAGGCTCTTTTCTGCCTCTTTCTCCATCTTATTGCTTTCCTAGAAGAACAGGGTTGGGCTGCTGTGGCTCTCTGCAGACAAAAGTGTTGTTTTCAAAACTGTTTTCCTGCTGGGAAGATTCCTCTGGATGTGGCTGCTGTCCAGGGATGTACCAAAGCACTTGGCTTTCCAACTTAAATATGTAAAGGGGGATTTTTCTAAAGGAAATCAAAGCTTTGTTCTCCTGTGGCCTGCTCAGGAAGCTGCTGCCCCTCTTATAGCAGCTTCAGGGAGGAAAAGGAATCTGATTCCATCCCTGTGACTCTTTTTCCCTCCAGATGCCCAAACCTCCTCCCCCACCTCAAGCAGCTGAATTCTCTGTTTCTTCTTTGCTGCTCACATCCTCATGCCCAACCAGTTCTCTCCCCAGACCTTTCTCATTACTTGTGTAGAGCTGTCACCACTAATTCCCCTGCATCACCCCCTAAGCAGGAGCAGGCAGAGGTCATGCTGGATGTGAGACTCCAAATTAGCAGGGCAGGAATATCCCATGGTGAAAACCACACTGGCTTCTCCTCACCAGTGGGGAATGGTTTGGGGGTGTGGTGGAGCAGTTCTAGCCTTGGTGATGTGAATCTTTGGTGTGTAGGTGCCCAGGGGTGATTGAGAACATCGAGGGCAGGAATTCACAGCTCCTCCACCAGCTGCAGAAGCTGGAGAGGGAGCACGAGGCTGTGGCTGAGCACAGTGAAGAGCTGGAGTCCATCCTGGGGGAGACACAGACCCCAACCAAGCAGGAGAAGGAGCAGTTTGAGAGCAAGGTGGAGGGACTTCAGCAGAAGGTAAGGAAGGGATGGGAGGAATACAGTTTGGTTTTAATTCTAGCTGCCTGTGGATCAGTAAGATAAAATGATGTCTGACCTAAACCTGCGTGCTGCTTGAGTTTGGGAAGAAATGCAGCTAGCAACATCTGCTGGTTTCAGCAGAGAGGGGAAAAGAAGGCAAAAATTCCAGCAGTGAGTAAATGATGCTTGCTTTGAGCTGCAGATCCCCCCAGTGTCACAGCAGCTTTGTCTTTTCCAGCTCCTGTGCCCCCTCCTTGGTGCCTGGGCTGTGGAGGGCACTGTCTGACACAGCTCCTGCATCCCCAGGAGTGAGGGCAGGCCATGAGTCCCTGTCGTGCAGCCTTTCTGGCTGTGTGAGCTGTGCACTCTTCTGCTTCTTGGCTGAGCTGGAGCAAAGTCTTTTTGCTTCAAAGTCAGGTTGCTGCTTTTTTTTCCCTCTGGAGCTAGTTCTTCTGAAGCTTTCATAGCTCAGCAGCTTGGATTTGCCCTGAGAGGCTGTCCTAGATGGCATCAGTGCTCCTGATGGGCTTCAGTGGTGGTCTCCTGCTTTTCCACATGGGATGGTTGTTTCTTCTGCCTGTGGTTTCTGCTGAAGAGCAAGTTCCAGGAAGCTCCAAGTGTTCTTGAGGCACAGAAGGGAGGCAAGAGGTTTTCTTGAAGCTCATGAGTAATCTCTTAACCTGGCACCAGTGATAAAAGTCCAGGCTTTGACCTGAATCCCTAACACCTCTCCAGAGCTGTCTAACAGGTGGAAATGGTCAGTGTGGGACACTGGTGCTCCTGGATCCCAGGAAGGGTCACCAGTTAAGCACCCTGGTGAGAGAAGATTGCTCTTTTTGCCCTTCCCCAAGCACTGGAGACCTGTCAGTGCGTGTGGCAAACACCAAGGCACTTCTGGGTGTGGGGGACCAGGATCTGCACTGCCTGGGGACATCTCTGCTGAAAATACTGAACTGAGGGCACAGCCTGTTTCACTCCTCACCTGCTACCTCCTGGTGCAGCATCTGCAGCTGAATGGGGCAGGCATTCAGGAGACACCTTTCTGAAGAGCTGGAATGAGCTGGTTGATGTGGAGCAGCACCCAGCTCCATCTGGACATGGGAGAAGGAAGGGCACACAGAAGTTTTCAGTCGGGAGTGAGTGGTGCTCAGACATGTCCATACACTTGCTGTTGTGTTAAAACAGGGCACAGGACACAGTGCAAGCCTGGAGGGCCTCCCATGGACTCCCATGGGAATGCTGAAGCAGCCACACGTCCCCAAGGAGAGTTGTTCAAAGGAGGAGAGGATGAAGTACTTGGCAGTAGCCTCTGGCTGTGAGGGAGAAGTCTCTGTGCTGTGAAGCAGGGTGAAGACATGTTCAAATATCTCCCTGGAGGATGCCAGCAGACATCAGGTTTCTAAGTGTGTAGCTGAGGAGCCAGGGGCAGGCTCTGTGGTGGGAATGGCAGGAGGTCTGTCCACAGTGCCCAGGCTTTTGTTTAGGCCAGGGTTTGTTCAGCACATGCTGAGACTTTTCCCACCTCCTCACAGGAGCAGAACAAACACAACCCTCCACAAGTCAAACAAGGTGTTTCCAGCTTGGAGAAATCCCTTCCTGGCTCAGTGTGTTATTAAACAGCTCCCTGGGAACGTTGCTCTGGGGGGTGTGGGGTGGACACAGTGGGGAGCACCCAGTAGCCAGGGAGATGTGAGGCATTTTGGCTGGCCTGAGCTGAAAAAAATGACAGAGAGGAGGGATGGGTGGATTGTGGGAGGGAAGAGGGGGTGGGTTAACCCTTGGTTAGATCCAGCATCCACTCAGAGGGCTGCAGAGCTGCACCCTTCATCTCCACGGGGCTTTTAGATGCCTTGGGGGGTAGTGGGGGAAGGAGTGTGCAGAGACAAATGTGCTGGAGCCTGGAGAGAGCAGCACTGCTGGGTGGCTGCCAGCCCTGCCCCATGTGAGAGGGACTTGGAAGTCTTTTCTCTTGGCATGCCTACAAAACTCTTGGCTGATTAGGCCACTGGCTCAGAACGGGGACAGCAGGGTACAATGTGGGCATTGTTCTGCTGTTCCCATGGGACCTGGTGCACGACTTAAATCCTTCAAAGTTAGAAGCTTGGAGGAAAAATAAGCAAACTGATGGCAATGTATAGCTGGGGCTCAACTTCACCAGCAGCTGGCTGAGGGGAGGGAAGTGGAGGGTTGTTGTGCTTTTGAGATCCTTCCCACAGCTCTTCTGGCCTGTTGAACCCCAAACTATCATCTAGTCATGCAGTAGGAGGGGGGTTTACTGCCCTCTGCTCTTCTCTGGGGGTCCTGGGTGTTTCATCCCACTGATTTGCTTTTGACACCTCTGTTGGGTCACATCATCTGTCTGAAAACCCAGAGTGAGAGCAGCTTTGCTCTGTGTTGGAGATCACTCCCTGCTGGGAGCTCCAAGGGGGCCACCTTGTGCCTGAAGCCTGCCAGTGAAAGCAAAATCCTCTCCAAGTGCAAAGAAAAAAGGGTGAGAAAAGCCATAAAGCATCTTCTGTGCTTCACCCTGCACTCTCCAGGATGGATGTGGCCTGGATGGGTGTGCTGTGAACTGGTGAAGCTGGATTTCATCTGCACAAACGTTCTTCCAGGCATAAGGAGCTGGAAGGAGAGGCTGGAAGGAGGGAGAGGGTGCTGAGAGCTGTGCTGGCAGGGAGCAGAGCTGGGCTGTGAGTGCCAAGGCTTGGATTTTGCAAAAGGATCTGCAGGAACTGTAACAAGGAGGAGAAACTGGCTGCTCCCTGCCCCTTTCAACCCTTTTAAACCGAAAAACTAATAATTGCCCTCCTGAGGGTAGATGCCTTGGGAAGGGTTGGTGCAAATGCAGAGTGAGCACTTGTCCAGACAAACTCTCCTCTGCCAGGAGGAGCACAGAGGTCAGTGTTTTGCTCAAGTTTGAGAGTCCTTGGAGCCTCACAGGACTTATCACCCCCTTTGGGCAGTGGAGGGACCAGGACAAGTGCTGGTGGGTTGGGTTGAACATCTGTTTGGGTGAGATCAGCACTGAGGGAGTGGACCCCATGATGGAAATCTCATGGGGTATTGTGGTTGGGGGAGCAGCATGCAGAAGGCCACGAGCCTGGGTGAGTTTTCACCCTGTGTCTGGGTCATTTCTCTCCTTTTGTGGAGCAGGGTTCTTCATTTCTGACTTGGCCTTGGATGGCTCCTTCACCCTTTGAAGCAGCAGGATGAAAGGTGTGAGCTGGAGCTACCCCCAGGCTGGTGGCTGTCCACCTCCCCTCCAAATCCTTGATTCCAGACTTGGGGCATAGTCTATAACAGCAGCACAAGGAGCAAGTTAGCAGTTGTGTATTTGGTACAGGTTGTGAGCCCTGGTTTGGTTTTTGACTCGTGGTTTGTCTCTGTTAAGATCACCAGTTTAGAAATGGGGCTGCTTGATGTGCAGAAGAGCAAAGCTGAGCTGAGTGGGGAAGAGCAGGTGGCTGGAGCACAGGAGATGCAAGAGGTAAGAAAGAAATCTTCCTTGGGAAAGGAACTTATCAACTGAGCAGCTCCTGTGGATGTGTTTTGTCTCTGAGTGTCTGCAGCCCATCAGCAAGACAGAGGGATGGCAGTGAAGGAGAGAAGCCAACGTGCCAACATTGCCTCCCTGAGAGCTCAGCTCTCTCAGGAGGTTGTCCTGCCTTCCACACTGCAAGCTGGGGAGCTCGTTCACTCCCTGGTGAGAGGGAAGGTTTGACACCTGTAAAGGGCCTTGGCTCTTGTGTGGGGGGTAGTGAAACCTGGGTAGCACGTAGGGACCTTTACAGGGCTGCTTCCCAGCTGGTTTGGGGCTGACTTGGTGGACAAGTTGTATCTGCCAGGTCTGTAAGCCACACTGGGCTGATTTCATGTGGGAGAAGACCTTCCTGAGGGTCAGCCTCAGGCCTTCTGAGAATCCAGCTAGCCCTGGGGTATAAGGTGCAGGAATCCTGCTGGCACCTTCTAAGAACCCTTTTTCCCAGTTTTATGTTTCTAGGAGATACATTTTCTGCCATTTGCTTCTCTTTCACTAGAATAAATGATGTGGTGGAAGCAACTCTTGGTCTTGCTTGTTCTAGATGCTGGAGAGCTGCCAGGAAACGATAGAGAAGTTGGGAAGTCAGCTGGGAAAGCAGAGAGAGAGGAGGAGGCAGCTGGCATCTGAGCTGGAGCTGTTACGAGGAGATCTGGAGCCTGAGAGGAAGGCATGGGGCAGTGAGGTGTGTATCACTCCTCCAGTGGGACTCCCTGCAGGTTTTGTGACTCCACCAAACATCCCTAATTGCCCTCCAAAGTGTGTTGCTTGACTTCTCCTGATCCATTTCTCCAGCCCAGCTCGTTTTGAAGCTTCTTTGGTGGATGGTTTTCAATTTGCTTTCATGGAAGTTTTTCTAACTCTGTAATTTAACTTTCCTTTCAGTGAATCCAATAACAAAACAGGAATTCAAAGTTTGTAGCCAAAGCCCCTTTTCTGGAAAGCAGAGGGGAACTTTTCAGACTCATGTATTTATGGCAGAGTTAGTTTTGACCATAAGGCTCCTGGTCATGAGCCTTCCTCTTTCCATGCCACAGGGATTGCTGTTCTGGGGTTGATCAACTGGCTAATTCTGGATCTGTTCAACATGGGTCCCCCCTTTTAATGTTAACAGTATTTTTCCTAACCCAAATATGGCATGATAATAAGTCAGGACACCCAAGAGTCAGAGAAGTCTACGTGAGCTGCTTGCTGGCATCCTGCTGCTGCTTTTTGTTCTGTGCCCTGAGGACCTCCTTATGCTTTGCTTGAAGCAGTTCAGCTGCTGGGTAGACTTCTGGTGGGTTTCTCTCTGCTGGTGCTCTCATCTTCCAGCTGGGCTGGAGAGCAGAGGGAGTGTGGGATGCCAGAAGAATTGCACAAGGGCTGGTGAAGACATAGGCAAGAAAGGGGCTGAAAATGAGGCTAAAAGTTTAGGAGGGCTGCAAATCTGTGGCCTGGATCAGGCAGACAGGGAGGACCTGAGGGAGACTGGTAAAGGAGAGGGTTATATTTATTACAAACCCCATTTTTTAGGACTCTGAGAGGCCTTAAGCCAGCTGTGAGTTGTATGGCTTCCTCAGATGTAAGTCAAAACCAGTGACAGTCCTGAACTATGGGTGCAGCTGCACATAGACAAGAGTCTTCTGGAGGAACAGTGGCATCTAGAGGACAGGACTTTTGTAGTGCTGTTAGGCAACAAATCCAACTGCAGCTTGGGATGCAGACCAAGCCTGGCTGAAGAGCAGTTTAGAAAGGGCTTAGGCCCATGCAGAAAAATGGACTTGCAATTGTGTCTTCAAGGGTGAAGAACTACAGTAATTTAGCTGTAGACTCACAAATTGTGTCTTGGTGGAGCCCTCAGATCACCTTACACTGCTCAAAAGGTTTCCATGAGGCTAACAAAAATCACAGTTGTGTTTTCTGACCTTACAGGTCTCTGAGCTCCAACAGGAAAGAAAACAGATTCACAAACTCGAGCAGAGATGTGGAGATCTATGTCCAGATGAAAAGGCATGTGAAGAACAGATGGCTAAAGTGATATTTTTGGAAGAACAGATCAAAAACTTGAGGGAGGAACAAGAAATGCTCTGGTAAACCTTAACAAGACCTGTGGTACTTTCTGCTCCTTATCTTTGCTGAGTAATTTTTTAGTCTTAAAAATCCTCATAATGCTGCTTCTCACAAAAATGGGCACAGCAGTTTTGTGTCTTCCACATCAGGTAATTGTCTCTCTGTAGAGATTTTGGGGAACAAGCATTTCCCTTGGTGGTATCATGATCAGTCAGGAGTAAACCACTTTTTGTTTTGCTGAAGCTATTCCAGATTCTACATGGCATAAATGAGAAGTGTCCTTAGGAAGGAAGGTTCTTCTCTTGGAGTGAGGTAGTATTTGGACTAAGGCAGTCCCAAAATCCTCCCAATGTGGCCCTGGGCTCATCAACTGCTGCCAGGATCTGATGAGATGCCTCCTGCTGTGGATTTCAGTTGCCTTTGAAGGGCAGGTGTCAGCAGTTGTTGGGGTTGTAGATAAAACTCCTGCAGGCCCCTTGACTCCCCTTTCTCAGTAGATCAATACAAATTTGGAGTTGGAGCATCCATGCTCAGGCTCTAATCAGTAACTAAGGGCTTGGATTAAATCCATTATTGTTCCAGTCAGCTCAATTACCTGGATAACTTGCTGAGATAGAGCAAAGCCAGGATTAGAGAGGTAGGTGAGCTTGTAAGGACATATCATTTAGATGGAGATAAGTCAGAGAGCTTCACTGGGAGACCTGAGCCCATGGTCCCTTCCAGTGAGGTGCTGGGTGAGTGCTTCTGTGCTGCTCTGAGCTCAGACCAGCTCACGTGGCCCCGAGCAAAGGTTTCCTCAGCCAGCACTTTCCCTGCTGATGAATGACAGAAAGCTGACCCTTTGGAGGGAGTATTTTTGTAGATCTGTGTCCAGGGGAGACTGACCCTTGCCCAGATGTGCTACATCCAGGATTAAATCCCTTTGGGAGCCTCCTGAAATGCTGGAGTGTTACCTTGAGAGTTTCACTGGACTCTCACATCCCCAGTTTCTCCCCTTCAGAGGCTGGTTTCCCTTGGATGCGTGTCATTACCTCTCTCTTTTGCTGTTTCCCCTTCAAGCTCTCAATTATTAGAAAGCAACAAGAAGAGGGAGGAGCTAGAAAAGCAGCTCAAAGGGAGCAATGAAGAGAAGCAGTTCTTACTGGCAGAAGTTGCCCAGCTAAGAGAAGAGATCCTGGCTACCCAGGAGCGGGGCGAGGACGTGCCCGAGGAGGCTGGGAGGATGAACCCGGGCATGGCACAGAGAGGGAGCAGGATTCTCATCTCACAGAGCTCTGCAGGCACCTTAGATGGGAGCATTAAACAGGTATGCTCAGCTTTGTCATCCACACTGTGCTTGTTTTTTATTCATTTAATGGCAAAACCTGATTAAAGTGGGCTGGGAGGCAGTCCTGCGGTGTCAGCGGGGAGCTGAGGCTGCCTGGCTGCCTTGGGGGAAATGTTTGGAATCATGGAATGCTGAGGTTGGAAGGGACCCTGGAGATCATCTCATCCAACCCCCTGCCGTGGAGACACCTCTCAACTAGACCAGGTTGCTCAGGGCCTCATCCTGACCAGCTCCAGGAAAAAACTCTCCCCAGCCTCTCTGGGCAATCCAGTCCAGAGTCTCACCACCCTCCCACTGAAGAACTTCTTCCTAAGATCATGAATGGAAGTCATGAATGTCATCATTTTCTTCCACTGTGCTTTTAGACCTAGTGGGAGCTTAAATAAACTGAATGGCCCCTTTAGTGCACGTGGGAGAAATAAGTTATACAGTCCTTCAGTGTTGTTTTAAACCCTTTGGAGCTTTTTCTCAGCTCCTATTTGGAGTGTGAGCAACAGAGCTGGCTTGCTGTTCCCACAATGATATTGCTCTTGCTGCAGGCAGAAGCTGTTCCTCTGCCATGCTCCTCCTGCTCTTACACCCCAGTGCATGAACTTGTCCCACAACTGCTGCCTCGAGGTGGCAGCTCACAGACCTCTCTAGCTGCAGATGTCCCTGCTCACTGCAGGGGAGGGGGCTGGACTAGATGACCTTACAGGTCCCTTCCAACCCAAACCAGCCTGTGAATCTGTGATAAGAAGCTGGGTTTTTCTGCAGCCCTGTCTCTCAGCTCCTCATCTCCTATTGCTCTACCCCATTTGTCACCACGTTTAGCTGTATTGGGTTTTGCTGCAGCCCTGTGTCTCAGCTCCTGCTCTCCTATTGCTCTGCCCCATTTGTCACCACGTTTAGCTGTATTTTAAATGTGATTTGTTCACCTTTCTTACTGTCCAAGCTAAAAAAAGAAAAGGAAGAGCAGCCAGCCCTGCCTAAAGGGGGAGAAGTGGTGAAGGTAGCCAGGATGGGGAGTCTGAGGAGGAGCAAAGATGTTATGAAAGAGTTTGGGAGAGAAGAGAGGGCAGGATGGCCTGTAGGCAGGAGTGGGAGTGGAAAGGAGAGGATCAGACTCCTGCTGACAGCAAGGAGCAGCAAATCTGTACAACTGGAGCAGAATCAAGCAGGATCCAAGGTGTGGAGGGGGTGCTGAAAAGGATCTTGATAGAAGCAGGGGGGAAAAAAGCCCACAAAATCTGGTTAATCTCAGAGAAATGGCATTGCCAGATCCCAGGGTGCTGGATCAAGACTTCTCAGCTTGGGAGTTTATCTGCAGATTGCTCTGAGAAAGGAAGCTGGATCTTCAGTGGATTTCATCTGCTCCCAAGACCAGATGCAAAGACAGGAATGCAGATCAACAGCTGGCTGAAGGCCATGCTGGGAAGCAGGATTTTGGTACCCCAAACATGGGAAGAGGTTTTCATCTGTGTACAAGGCACTTGCAAGAAGATGAGTGAACCAAAGAGCTCAGTTCTCTTCTGAAAGCCACCCCCAACTGTTGGTGACCACCTCATGGTGCCCAGGCTGCTGTCCCATCATGCCAGCACATCTGGTCATGGACCACTGCCAGGACTCACCTTATTCCTGCTCCTGCTGGGAGCTGTGCCTGGATGTGCCTCTCCTGCATGCTGGCCTCAGTGAGACTCTGGCAGGAGAGTGAAGAGTAATCTGGGTGATTTTGCTGTTGTTTGACAGGTCTGTTTTAACAGGGATTTTCTCAATCCAGGTCATTGCATCTTCTTCCTCCACCTCAAGAGTTTGTAGCAGCCTCTCTGAGGGGGTGGACAGAGTAGGGAGCAGGACAGTGTGGGACAGAAGAAATGCTTGCCTGGCTTCCCCCATCTTCCTTCTTAAAAGCCCTTAAATCCTACTGGCATACTTCCCCCTTTCTTAACTCCCACTCTGTCTTCCCTGGGAGTTAATTTCCACGTTACCTCAGTCATTTTGCTGTCCCTACAGAGTCTGCCTGAGGAGAGAGCCCAGCAGCAGGAGGAGAAGATGCAGCAGCTGAGGCAGGACCTGCGTCGAGTTCAGAACTTGTGCAGCTCAGCCGAGAGGGAGCTGAGGTACCAAAGGGAGCAGAACCTGGACTTACAAAAGCAAAACCTCCTGCTAAAAAAGTAGGGACAGAGCAGGCAGAGCTGTTTGTTTTGTGGGCTGGGGGGGAGCTGAGGGGCTGATTTCAGCAGATAATTTCATTTACCTTTGGCTGGGCAGTACCTGGGGGGCTCTCAAGTGTGCTCTGAGTCCTGCCTCCAAATAAACCCCTGTGCACTGTACTCACTCTCTGCATTTCTCTTCCATTCTTGTTCACTCTGTTGCCCCTTTTCTAACCAAGACATTTCAGGGGATCTGCCTTGAAGTGCAAACTTGATTTGTTCTTCTTTTGAAACTCAGGTCAAAGCTGAGCTGAAGCAAGCCCGGGCAAAGCTCTCGGACACAACTGAAACATGCTCCTCTCTCTCAGCACAGTGGGAAAAGAGCCAGCAGAAGGTCAAAGAACTTGAACAAGAGCTCTTGAAGTGTTCCCAGGCTGATAAACTGCAGAGCAGCCTGCAAGAGAAACTTACTCAGGAGAAATCCAAAGTGTCTGAAGCACACAAAAAGGTAACTCAGTGTGAGCTGAGGTGTTTGTAGCAGCTCTGTGCAACTGAAGCACTAGCAGCTTGTGAATTGATTCCTCCAAGTCCATTTCTCTGGTCCATTTTGGCTAAATATTTTAGGAAAAATACCTGTTATTAGTGAGAGCATGATCAAGACAATAGAAACCAAATCTGATGGCTCAGCTCCTGTCTCTCAAATAAAATACTGGTCTTAGGGCTTCTAAGCACAGGGAGCCCAGGTCACACTCTTGCTGAGATTTGCTGCTGTTTTGGGTAAATTGCAGAAGTTTGTGTTGTCCATGGCATCAGTTTGGCCATGTTCCTGTACCAGTCATTGGACTCAGTCCTGGAGTGTGCAGGATCAAATGAGATGCAAAAGGAATTGTTGCTAATTCATGACATAGAGTCTGATCTCACATCCAGGAGCTGTTGGAAAGGTTTTGCTTTTAATGGACTTTGACCCAAAGCCAGGCAGAAATATTTTTGGGTAGAAGAAAGCAAATCTTTCATTCCTGTGATGCAGCTACTGAGGGATTAAAGGGATGTGAATCCCTTGCATTCAGGTATTGGCCTATAAATTCAAAAAGTTTAATCTGTGTCCAATTTGAATCTGAGATTTCAAAGCTCCAGCAAAAGCTGAAAGATTCACAGCACCAGCTCCTGCTGGCAGAGGCCCATGTCTCAGACAAGAAACTCCTGGAGGAGGAGTTGAAGGAGGTCAGAGAAAATGAAGCTCGTGTGCAGCAAGAACTTCATGAGGAGCAGCTGAAAAGGTACCTGGAGCTGGGTGCAGAGGGGAGGTGGGTGCCAGCCCTTGCTGCTGTGCCAGCCTGCAGCTCCCTGCCTGGCCCTGGGTGGGCTCACAGCCACTGCACCACTGGTTTTACCTCCTGTATCTCCTTTTGAGCTGCCAGTGTCCCTGGCAGAGCTCCTCTTTATCAGATTTAAAAGATTTTTTTGGAGACTTTCAGCTACCTCAGAAGGTGTGTGGCCCCTCCTGCCAGCCCAGGGATTTGGTTTTACCCCCTAGCTGCCAGCAGTCCCCTTTCTTGTGCAGCAGGATGGTCCCAGATACCTCCTGCAGCCTTTCACCTGCCCCTGGGGCATGGGGACAACCAGGATGTCCTGATTCCTCTCTACCCTCAGTGTTGCCCGGGGCAGGTGCAGAGCAGAGTAGTTACTTTTAGATGGCAGCCAGCCTTGAATTGCCATTGACACGTGTCCTCCATGTCCCTGTGTCCCTGTCACCCCCCTGATTTCAGGAAGCTCCTGGAGCAGCAGCTGGAGGAGCTGAGGCAGCAGCTCCAGCACTCCCGGGAGACGGAGGCGGCGCTGGCCAAGATGCACGTGGAGCTGCAGGCCAGGACCCTGCACGCCCTAGAAGAGGAGAAGAAGACTGACTCCAGCCAGGTGAGCTGCAGCACAGAGGGGTCCTCAGCACCCAAGGTGGTGCAGAATCAGAATCCCAGCCTGGTGGGGGTGGGAAGGGGCCTCTGAAGAGCATCTCGTCCAACCCCCCCTGTTTTATTCCTGGGGATGCAGCTCAGAGGGCACAGAAGGACTTGAAGGGAGAGGAGAAGAGGCTGTCCCCATTTCTTGAAGATTGTGGAGCTTTTTGCAGGAAAATTTTGACAGAGGCCAGTGCCTGGGTGGGTGTGTCACCTCCCTCTGGCCTGTCAAAGCCTGTGGCCCCCCAGCAGCACAGAAACCCACCCTCCTGCTTCTTCCAAGAGGTGGTGGCCTTGGGGACAGACAGGATGGATGTCCTCTGTAGGGGGAACCACTGGGATTTGTGACAGAGGAGCTTTGGAGGCCAGACCTGAGACAGAGGGGCCCCGACAGCTGAGGACACACACAGAAATAAAACAAGATGTTTTGCAGCACCTCCAGTGTCAGAAGGAGAACCAGAAGCTCTCAGAGCAAGTGTCCCTGCTGAAGGAGGAGAACAAAGCCCTTTATGAGGAAGGAATCCGGCTCCTGAACCAGAAGGATCTCTACGTCAGGTATGGAGCCAGCACTGGGGCAGGAGCAGACACAAAAACTGACCCAGGAGCTGCTGTTTCTGTGCCTGGTGGCGAGCCTGGGTTTGACTGTTCTCTTGTCCCCTCTGTGGAAGGTGTTTAGCACCAAGAATCCTAGAATGGCTGAGGTTGGAAGGGACCCTAGAGATCATCTCACCCAACCCCTTGCCATGGGCAGGGACACCTCTCAACCAGAGCTGGTTGCTCAAGGCATCATCTAATCTGGCCTTGAACAGCTCCAGGGAGGGGCATCCACAGCCTCTCTGGGCAATCCAGTCCAGAGTCTCACCACCCTCCTACTGAAGAACTTCCTAAGATCCAGTCTAAACCTGCTCTCCTTCAGTTTAAAACCATTTCCCCTTGTCCTGTTGCTGGGCACTCTTGGGAAAAGTCCCTCTCCAGCCTTCCTGGAGGTTCCCTTCAGATATTGGAGGCAATTCTAAGCTCCCTCTGGAGTCTTCTCTTCTCCAGGCTGAACAATCCCAGTGCACTCAGCCCACCCTCACAGCAGAGATTCTCCAGCCCCTGGCCCATCTTTGTGGCCTCCTCTGGACTCGTTCCAACAGATCTGTGTCCCTTTGGTGGTGGGCACACCAGAACTGGAGGCAGTATTCAAGGTGAGGTCTCACAAGATCAGAGTAAAAGGGGAGAATCCCCTCTCCTGATCTGCTGGCCACACTCCTGATGAACCCCAGGATTTGGTTGGCCTTCTGGGCTGGATGAGCACACTGCTGGCTCCCACTGAGCTTCTCATCCATCAACACCCCCAAGTCCTCTCTTCAGGGCTACTCTCCACCAACTCTGCAGCTCTAAGAAGCACCCACTGAAGCAGCTCTATCTGCAGCCTGTCTGCCTCACCTTTGCTGTTTGGGATTCCTCTTTTTTTTGGCCATTTCCCCCCTTGCCCTTAACCTCCCACATCCCCAGGCAGATGAGGAAAAGCCCCACAGACAGCAGCACTGCACAGCCTGGTGTTTGTCTCTCTGCCCCTTCAGGAAATACAACGAACTGCAGCTTCGGCACAAGGAGAAGATCCGGAGGGCCAAGGAGACCTATATCCACGAGGTGAAACAGAGGGACAGCAGAATTAAGAGGCTTGAAAACGAGCTCAGCGAGTCAAAACTCCAGGTGGAAAAGGTGGGAGAACACCTCAAGGGCTTCTCCTGTGAGGGAGGGTGGGGAGCAGGCTCCAGAGTGTCTGTAGGAGCATCCCTTCTTCCAAATCCTCTCTTCCCAGGGCCCACTACTGGGGCCAGTTCTGGTTTGAATATCTCTGTCAGTGATCTGGACAAGGGAAGGGGATCAAGGGCACTCTCAGACTGCAGATGGCACCAGGTTGGGTGGGAGTGTTGAACTGCTGGAGGGTTGGAGGCTCTACAGGGGGGGTCTGGCCAGGCTGGATCGATGGGCTGAGGCCAATGGAATGAGGTTCAACAAGGCCAAGGGTCACAACACCCCCCTGCAGTGCTCCAGCCTGGGGCAGAGGGGCTGGAAAGTGCCCGTGGAAAAGGACCTGGGGGGGTTGGAGGACAGGCAACTGGAGATGAGGCAGCCTGTGCCCAGATGGAAAGAAGGCCACCAGCATCCTGGCTTGGATCAGCACCGGTGTGGCCAGCAGGAGCAGGGCAGGGATTGTCCCCCTGGATTGGGCACTGGGGAGGCCACATCTTGAATCCTGGGTTCAGTTTGGTGCCTCTCACTCCCAGAAGGACCTTGAGGGGCTGGAGTGTGGCCAGAGAAGGGCAACGAAGCTGCTGGGGAAGGGTCTAGAGCCCAAGTGTGGGGAGGAGCAGCTGAGGGAGCTGGGGGTGCTGAGCCTGGAGCAAAGGAGGCTCAGGGGAGACCTTCTGGCTCTGCACAGCTCCTGACAGGAGCCTGGAGCCGGGGGGGGTCGGGCTCTGCTCCCAAGGGACAAGGGACAGGACAAGAGGAAATGGCCTCAAGCTGAGCCAGGGGAGGTTGAGGTGGGACTGGACTGGATGATCTTGGAGGTCTCTTCCAAGCAGAATGATTCAGTGATTCTGGGAAGTGCAGCTCAGGAACAGAGGCAGTGGGCTTCAGGAGCAGCTGGGCTGCACTGTTACACCCCAGAGAGTCAGAGCAGGGGGAGTGTCCCTGATGATGATGAGCTCCTGCTCTGCACACAGGACTGACCAAAATATTTCTGCTGGAAAGTGAACCCATCTCTTTTTGGGGTGGGTTCCACCAGGTACCCTGTCCCTTCTAGGAGCAAACTCCTTTAGGGGTGACCCCTTTGGTGACGTGCTCTGAGCTTGACAGAGAAGAGCAAAGTGTAACCTGGTGGTTGTTTCCTTCTGTGACACCCTGCAGGGGAAGGTGCTGATCACACAGCTCAGTGCTGAGAAGGAGAAGCTGCTCCAGGAAAGAAGAAGGCTCCTGCAGAAGATGACTGACCAGGAGGAGACCCCTTGGAGCAGCTGCTCTCCAGCCCTGCAGAGCAGGTGGGTGCTTGGTGCTGTCCCCACCACAGGGAGCCTGCCTCTGCCCAGGGCTTCTCCATGTTTCTTGCCTGTGATTTCTCTTCAGAAATCCAGAGGAAAGCCTGAAAACCACCCTCCTCATCACTAGTGCTGTTAATTTGGGCTTTTAATTGCTGCGGGGTGTAATTAGCCCCTCTCCCCATGGCAGCCCTCAGCAGAGAGCTGAAGGCTGTGGAGGCTGAAAGGTCTGAGCTTGAAAGCAGCGTGGCCAGAAGGCCAATAACCTGTCCCTTGTCCCTGTGACCTGCTCAGGGTGAAGATCCTGGACGAGGAGACCACAGGGCTGCAGGAGAACAAGCTCCAGCTCTGCGGGCACGTGCCCACCTCACCACGCCTGCCCAGGAGCACCCGTGCCCCCAGCACCCAGGTGAGACCCAGAGGGGGCTTGGCCTCAAGCCAGTTTGCTTGGAAAGGGGCTGTTCAAGATGAAAATGCTGCTTGGGAGCTGGCAGAAGGAGCTGTGTGTGTGTCCCACTGTGCTTTGTGCTCCTGTGCGTTTCACCTGGGCTGGGCAAGGTTGGGGTTTTTAGCTTAAATTCAGAGCCAAAGGAAGAATCTATGACTAGTACCTCTGGAGGTCGTGGGCAGAACTGGCAGTGGAGCTGGGGGGCACTCTGAAGACCAAGACTGCATGTTGAGCTGCACCTTCTCCTGTGAAAGTCTCTGTCCCCCCTTGCAGGACTCGAGGAGTGCTAACGTCTCCGAGCGCCCAGCACACAGTAAGGTGTTGCCATCTCCCCGTGCCAGGTACCGTGGGGGAGGAGGAGGAGGAGGAGGCAGGGAAAGCCTCTCTGCATGTGGTGAGGGAGAAGTTGAGCCTTTTGGCTGCTCCACCCTGTGCTTTCACCTCCCAGGGCCTTTTATGTCAAATTCTAGGGAAAATGGTATTAAAAAGACTCTAAAAGTGATGGGGTGGAGGGGTAAAATCTTCAAGCTGTGGGGTTTAGGTGCCAGCTCGGTGCCCTGTGGGTTTGGAGGGTGTCTTTCCATCCGAGGTGGTGAGACTGAAAGGAGCACTGCTGCCCAGAGCTGTCTGACCCACATCCCAGGCTGTGGGGCAGGAGGCAGCTTGGGCTGTTTCTCCACCAGTGGAGCCAGAAGCACCATGATCTGTGCCAAAACAGGCAAGGGGAAGGCAGAGAGATCTGGAAGTGTGGTCTCTGCTTGCTGGAGGCCCAGCTCTGCAGCCTGGGCTACAGCCTTTGGGTGCTGTCGAGGGTGATGGACAGTGCCAGAGGTCTGGGGCAGATGGGGACATCACTGCCTGGCTGCAGGAAGAGCATCAGAGCCCTAGTCTGAGTGAAAGGTGTTGACCACCCCCCAGTGGTGCCCACAGAGGTGCTGGGGGGAGCGTTGGGGCTGTGCAGGAGGTGAAGGGGCAGAGTTTGCAGAATTGGCTGAGGAGAGGAAATTTTGTTTTCAGCTTCCCCTCCCGAGACCCACCAGAGTCCCTCAGCACCCTGAAGGCCACACAAGATGTGAAGCTTGAAGGAGAAGCTGAAAGCCAAGACTCATCCTTTTGCCTGTCCCCTTCTCAGCCTTCTGAGATAGGGTACTTGAATGTGGCATCTCCTGGAGACACCACCAAGGCCTCTCAGCTGCAGGAGGAGAGTCAGAGCATCAGCTCTGAGAACTTCTAAATGGGGACAGATGGTTGTGAAATATTAGCTGGACTGGAAGCTTTTGGGCTCCCCTTGCCACGTGGGACAAGGACTGCAGGGGGGAGACTTGCCAAGCTGACTGACCTGGGGATTTCTGTGATATATTTCAATTATTCAATGTTTTTTTTCCAATGTATACAATTATCAATGTGTCTGATCCCAGATCCACCCAGAGACTGGAATTTGTAGATATACTCAGTGAAAAGGAAGAGGGGTGGGGTGAGCCCTAATTCCTTGCCTGGTCCAAACCTACAAACTTTGTAAATAAAACTCTGGGAAGTTCCTTTCCACCCACTCTGTGCCCACTTTTCTCCATTCCCTTGGTGCAAGGCCTGCAGAGGGGAATGGGGGCATCTGAGCATGGATGAGAACATGCAGAGAAGGAAGATGGGGGGAAAAGGGGCTCTGAGAGCATGGCTGATGGGTCAAGGGAAGGTGGGTCAATGGGAAGAGAGCCACTCTCTTCTCCCAAGGGAGGAAACAGAGGTTCCAGTTGCAGATGTCCCTGCTCACTGCATGGCAGTTGGACTAGATGACCTTGAAAGGTCCCTTTCAACCCAAACTATTCTGAGTCTATAATTCTAGGTTGCTTCCAGAGTGCTTTGGGGTGTGCAGAAAGACACACGTGGGGGTTGTGGGTGCACTAGAAGGACCACGAGTGGTCTGGGCTGTCCTAAACAGCACATGGTGGTGAACCAGGATGGCCCTGAAGGTACATGGGGGGGAGTCCAGAGAACTCTGAAAACCACACCAAGGGCTCTGGGTACCCCCAAGAAACACAGCTTCAGGATGCCCCAAAAAGAAGACAGATGAGATCAGCAAGGACACTGCAAAAGGCTCATCCAGCATCCACCCCAAAATGGTAAAACAACAGGGGGTGCAGGGTGTGTCCAGGGGGATGCTGAGGGGGAAGGAGAGCTGGTGGAGCTGGTGCCTTCAGAGCTGGTGGAGCTGGTGCCTTCAGAGCTGGTGGAACTGCTGCCTTCAGAGCTGGTGGTGGCTCAGCCCATGGGCAGCTGTCCCTGCCCTGCTGCTCCTCAGGACTCAGCTGGGCTCTGCCCCCAGCATTGCCCACAGCTCCTGGGTGAGAGGTGAGGTGAGGGGCAGTGATGCCCAGTCCATGGTCACCAGGCCTGGACACGGATTCCAGAGGGGCAAGAAGGCTCAGGAGGGACCCGTGTGCCCCAGGAGCAGCCCTGGAGAGACCCACCAGCCATGGAGCCAGGAGGAGGTGCTGGCTGTGGCCACCACCACCAGCAGCATGGCTCTGGAGCAGCCTTGGGTGAAGCAGCTCCACAGTGGCTGCCAGGGCAAGGGTGGTGGGCACTCTTTGGGCAGCTCCTGGGCTGTTCTCCTCCCCTGGCCTTGGCTTTGTGCCTGTGGCTCTTGGTTCTCCAGGGAGGTCTCTCTGGAGAGGGCAAATGATGGGCTGTAGTTGCTGCCATCAGTCATGTGTCCAATGGGTTGTGCTTTGTCTGTCCAGGGCACAGCCTGGGCACTCCAGGGGGTGGGGCAACAAGGGAGCAGCTGCTCCAGGAGGTGCCCAAGGGCTGCAGATGCCTTGGTCACAAGGCAAAGCCTGAGCTGGGCCAAGGGATGGAGAAAAATCCCCCAGGGCTCAGGAGAGCAGCTCCAGATGTGGTTCTTCAGTGGGCAGCAGGGGCAGGGATAACCTCTGGGTTTGCCTGTGACATGAAGAGTGGAAGTCACTCCTGCCTAGGTCCTGGCTGGGTGGCATGGGAGGAGAGGTGCTTGCTTCTGACCTGCCTCTGGGGCTTTGTCTGAAGGTGGGGGGTGTAGAAAGCAGGTGCTTGGTCAGGACAAGTTCTCTCTGTCTCCACCTGGAAGGGATGGAGCTGTGCTGTGCTGGGAGATTTCCTTGGCCTGGTTTGGTGGGGAAGCTTTGCCTGTTCAAAGGTGGATGCTCTTTTATTGTGTAAAGGTTGGCAGAAAAGCTTGTGCTCCATAGAAGCTCTCTGCTGAACTTGCCAGGGAAGTGAGGCCCTTGAAGGCCAAGAGGTCTGGAGGGGTCTGAAGTGTCAGCAGATGCTAGTGGTGGGTGGCTTTATTTGTTGTGTGCAGCCTCTGGGATTTCCTTCACAGGCTTTAGAAAGCTGGTTGCCCAATGGTGAAACACAGAAGATCTTCTTGCTTCCTTTGGGTATGTCCCCTTTATCCTTGGGTTCCTCTGGTGGGCTGAAATCTCTCCAGAACTTCAGAGCATCCCATCATGGTTGATTCTTGCCCAGGGCCCTCTCCTGGGTCTGCTGTGGGACTAACCCTGCATCTTGCTTTTTCTCCCCAGATAGCAGTGAAATGGATCTGCTGGAAGTCATCTGGACCTGGGCACCTCTCCTGCTCTTCCCCCAACTCCATGTGCTTAGATGATGCTTTATTTAAGGGAGTAGCTTCATTTAACTAGTTATTAAAGTTATCAGAGTTGAAGAAAAGAGCCCTATGAGGTGGTGCAAACCATTTTTCTCCCCCATTCCTCAAGTGGCTGTTCCCTCTGCCCAGGGCTGAGGGGGTCTGGGGGGACCATGGGCTGGCAAGCTGTGCTTGTCTCCAGCCTCCCCAGCAGCTTGGCCTGTGAGAAGTGGGAAATTCTGGGTGATGGAGCAGGACCTTTGGGGCAAAACATCCATTTTTAGGGCATTTATGCCAGAGGCTGGAAGAGGTGAGTATCTGGCTGGACAAGCCCCAAACTGCAGCAATTTCCAACTCCTGCTCATTGCTCAGGGTCAGGCCATGCCCAGGACCACACGTGCACCTGGAAGACACAAGACCCTAGAGGTGGCCCTGGCAGGCTCCTTCTTTTGTGCTTTCTTTGGAAGAATCAGGGCTCTGCAACCCTCACATGACACTGCTGACCAAACCCAGCTCTTGTGTTTCATTTCATTCATCTGGCCCATCCTAGGTTTTGAATTTTGCATTTTGATCCATCCCCAAATTTTTCTGGTCTTTGTTTCCATTCTCAGTTTTCTCCCTATGCCTGCCCTGGCTCATGGGACAGAGATGGGTTTTAAATAACCAGTTATAGTTGTACAGGTGAAGTGTAGGTGGATGGAAACGTGACAAGAGGATGGAAAATTCCCATAGTAGAAGAAAAAAAGGAAGAGAGAGATAGAAGGGGAAGTGTTGATACCAAGTCATTGATCTCAAATGTTCAGTAAGGAATTAAGAGACTTTATTCCATGGCAGCAGCTCTGCAGTTGAAATGTTTGTTCTTCAGTTTGTTTTACTGAGGAGGTTTGGCATGATAAAACACTCAGCTTGATCTAGGGAAGAAGACACAGGTTTTTAGTGAGCACAAAGTGGTGGTTGCCATTCAGTCACAAACCAAACCAGAGCAAACCCAAAATTTCAAGCAATCAATGAATCAGACAATGATTAAGATGGGAAGAGGTTCTCCAGAGATGGTCTAACCCAACCCTGCAGACCTGTCTGAAGGTACCAGGCACTTACTGCTGCCACAGCACCAAGTGTTAGAATAATTCTTTTAACATTTTCCCTCTGAAAACACCTTTGTGATGAACTTTGAAGGCGATGGGAAAGCAAACAGCTGCTGGAGATAATCTGCAACTCAGCTGGAATATTTTTTTACCCAGGTTCTTTATACAGCCTGGGTTCAAGGTCTGTCTAAACTGGGTTTTCTGAGGCACTTGTGCATATAAAAAAATTATTCCACAGTGACACAAGTTTTTCCATTGGGATCTGAACAACACTGTGAAGTTTAAGTCACGTGTCCCAGAGATAAAGGATAACCCATAAAACACCTTGCAGAGCAGAGCCTGCCACATCCAACTCACCAGCAGCATGCTCCAAGTCCTCTTTGCTCTGCTGCCTCTGGCAGCTGCAGGTAGGTATCCAATTTTTCCATCAGATTTAAAGGGAAAAATGAATTAAAATCCAACAGCAACTCTCCTTTTCTTTTAGGGAAATCAGATATTCTGCAAGGAAGCAGAAAGAGAGATGATGGAGTTCATTTAGAAGTTCTCTCAAAGCAGTAACGAGGTGCTGGGTGGGCTGCTCTGTTCTTATTACAGGGGTTTGATCAGCATTACTGCTGCCAGCCTTTAACAAATGTGTTATTTAGCCTGAATACACTGAAAGACAGGGAATCCACATCAAATCCTTGCACTGGCTAAGAGCTGCCTCTCAATTTAGTTGAGCCAACTTGGTTCCCTGGCAGAAAACTGAAACCATTCCAACAGGCTTTATAGAACATTGGTGGCTTCACTTGCAGCACATTAAATCACAGCCTGGGTTTGTATATGTGCAATGTTTTGTACAAACATGGTCTGTATTAAAAAAAACCAAACCCAAACCAACCCAAACCTCAATTTTTTCCAACCTTTTCCTTTTAAAACACACCCTGTTTTGTCTTCCAGCCCTCGACTGCGGGGTTCCTGCCTTCCCACCCACTGTGTCGAGGGTTGTTGGAGGGGAAAATGCAAGACCCTTCAGCTGGCCCTGGCAGGTTGGTGGTTTTGGGCTTTCTCTGGGAGAATTAGGGCTGTGCAACCCCTCCACAACACGGCTGGACAAAACCAGGTCTTGGATTGCACTCAATACATCTGGCCTGTCACTCCTGAGGTTTTGGGTATTCTGATCAGAGCCCAAATTTTCAGTCTTTTCAAGAAAGCTCCAAAGGTGGCACCTCTTGCTGGTGACACAGGCTTTTGTTTACCTGTTTATACCCCATGTTTAAGCAGGGTGACTGTGAAAGTCAGTGGAGCACTCAATGCCCACTGGAGCACAGTTGCATGAAGAGTTAAAATATCCACTTCTGCAACTAATGAAATGCTCTGCTTGGGCCAGACTTAGTGAGAGCTTTGGTAGAAACATGAAAAAAAATCAAGTTTTTGGATGCTAAAGAAAAAAGGAAACCTTTTCTGGGGCCAGGAGTTAGAATCTTGCAGATTAAAAGCCTCCCACCATCTTCCAGCAGCCAAAGCTGTGTTCTGTGTTCTGGGTGCAGGAAGAAATATCATCAGGGAAAAAAATCAGTAAGCAAAAAGCTGAGCTTTGTTTGATATGTTGCTCCTAGGCCTCCCTTCAATACAGCTCAAATGGCAAATGGCATCATACCTGTGGAGGATCCCTCATTGCAACCAACTGGGTGCTGACAGCTGCACACTGCATCAGGTAAATCAGGGGGTTGGGGCTGTGCCACACCAGAGGTGGGTGAGCAAAACCAGGTCCCTTCCACAGTTAAGAGCTCTGAGTTTCACATCTTATCCTTTGATTAGGTCAGGGGAAGAATGACAGCTTTTAATTTTCTTAAAATAAAAGTAGAGGGGGAAAAAAACCCCCTCATACAATGACTTAAATTATATACTCTGTTTTCTGTTAGTAACTAAAAGCATCATTATATCTTCAGGTTGCTATTAAAATTCACTGTGTTGCCTATTTCTATAATAGATGTGGCTGTGAGATCCACAGATTAACTGATTAATCCACTCCCTGAAGAAATAAACTCAGATATTTTGAATACACCCATCATGTTCAGGAAGCTCCTCCTATTATGGGGCTGAGTTTTAGTCCTTTTCTTGCCCAGTTCTTCTAAGAAATATCAAGTTTTGCTTGGAAAATACAACCTGGCAGCTGTGGAAGAAGGATCACTTGCACTCTCTCCAGAAAAAATCATTGTCAACGAGAACTGGGATCCAGAGAATATTGCAAATGGGTAAGTGGGTGGGAAGCATTTTTTTAATTATTAGATGCAGGGCAAAAAGCAAACTGCCTGAACCCAGCCTCCCTGAGCTCTGGTAAGTGTTTAGAGCCTCCTGTTACAGCTTTCTGGGGGTGTACTCCTAAATGTTTCCTCGTAGATGAGAGTTGAGTCCCCAGTTTGTGCCTTTCCACCCCAAGCCCAGATAAAGACCTCTCAATATGGATTGCTTGTTGAGCAGTGGTGTTTGCATGTTGATGCTTGGGTGGGAAGCTGTTCTCTTGTTTTATGCAGTGGATGGAATGATTTAGTGGGTACAACACCCATTGAAGCCTCCTGAGAACAGCATAAATACAGAGTGTTGCTGCTCAGGGTGTTGTTTTGTTGCTCCTGTGTCCTGCTGCAGGCTGAGGGCATTAACAAAGAAATCCCCTCACCTTCCAGCTCCTTGGTTTTGGTGAGGAGAACTCATAAAAGGCAATTCCCAGAAAGCTGCCAACAGCTCTGCAAGGATTAACCTTCCAGTCCATGGATTCCCCACTGCTTTGAGGGTGGAGGGATGTTTAGTGCCCACGCAGTGCCCTCCTTGCTCCCTGGCAGCTCTTTGGAGCAGTCCACGTGCCACGGAACTGCCGAGGGCTCACACTAGTGCCTGGCTCTATCTGCAAACCCCTTTTTCTCCTTGTTTTCTCCTCCAACGCCTTCTCCTGGCTGCAGGAATGACATTGCCATGATCAAACTCCCTGAGCACGTCCCCCTGAGCGACCACATCCAGCCAGGCTGCCTGCCCCCTGCCCAGAGCATCCTGCCTGCCAACACTTCCTGCTACGTCACGGGCTGGGGCAGGCTGCAGAGTGAGTACCTCCAAACTGGAGCTGCATCCCCCCCGTGCTGCCTTCCCCTGGGAAAAGGCTGCTGGGGGTGCCCAGGACCCCCTGGAATGCAGTGAGGTGGTTTATCAGCCCCCCACTTCACTCCTACTGGGATTTTTCCCTGCTTATCAGGTTTATTTGGCTTGGAATGAGGCTAAAAATGCACTAGAGGGACCTTTACTGAGCTGTTATAAGCTGGTGTAGCACCAGTGTTGTAGCATCATCCCCCTGAAGAGCTCAAAAGAGACTTAAGGGAATAGGTGGAAAGTGAAAAAAAATCTCAGAGGCTTCAGCAGAAGCATCAGCTTGGCTCTGGAGGCAATTCGAGACTGATAATTAAATTAAAAGCTAAAATAAAGTAGTTAAAAGTAATAATAAAGCAATAAAGTAATAATAAAATAAAGGAATAAAGTAATAATAAAATAAAGCAATAAAGTATTAATAAAATAAAGTAAAAGCAAAATAAAGTGTTAATAAATTAAAGTAAAAATAAAATAAACTGCAAACTCCTGAGCAAAGAACAGCCCTTTATTTCTCTAACAAGGAGATATTTTGAAGTGGAACACAAATTATTAGTCACTTAAGGCCTTTTTTTTTTAATATATATCTATATAAACTAAGGGAGCTAAGGAATGGATTACAACTGTAATCCAACCCCTAGGGATTTTCTTACCTGGAGAGATCCTGGGAGCAGCTTAGCAAGGCAATTTAACACTGTTTTGTCCTCTCTTCAGTGCCAGCTGGTGCCACGTCTCCTCTGTTTCTGTTCCCCCCCAGCAAATGGACCTCTCCCAGATGACCTGCAGCAAGGCCGGCTGCTGGTGGTGGATTATGCCACTTGCTCCCAGCCCAGCTGGTGGGGAAGCATTGTGAAACCCACCATGATCTGTGCTGGTGGGGATGGAGTCATCTCCAGCTGCAACGTGAGTCCAGACCACACCACTCCCCGGGCTCAAAAACGGGAAAGAAAGCTTAAATCAAAAAAAACAACCCAAGGAGGAGCTCCTCCCACTGACTGCCCTTAACTTCTTCTCCCAAGGGGGACTCTGGTGGCCCTCTGAACTGCCAAGGGGCTGGTGGCCGCTGGGAGGTGCATGGCATCGTCAGCTTCGGCTCTTCCCTGGGCTGCAACTACTACCACAAACCTTCTGTCTTCACTCGGGTCTCTGCCTTCGACAGCTGGATCCAGCAGGTGAGGCTCTGGCTCTTCCTGATGGGGAAAACAAGTCCCTTTGTAGAGCTTCTTGGAGAACACAGGAGTACCCTTTGCTGAAGTAGTTCACCAAATTCTTGCTCCTTTTAAAGAAGTCTTGGTGTTTAGGGATGTGTTCTCTCTTTGTGCTAGAGCTAGAGTTAGATTTTATTGGTGTGGTTTGGGAGGGATGACTCAAATTTGTGTTCCCCAATAGCACTGACTGTTGGTTTTGCACCCTCGAAGGCAGCGTGTGCTGCTCCAGCCTGGAACATCAAGTTTTTATTAATTTAATACAAATTTTAATCTAAAAAGTGGCTGAGAAGCAAAAAATATTATTTCAGTTATTTACATCCTGCATCCTGGATGCAATAGATACTAGCCAGAAATCCCTGGGTCTCATGAGCTGATTTTTCCTTTGTTCCTGGGTCTCATGAGCTGATTTTTTCACTTGTTTTACATTTTTATAGGTTATGGCCACCAACTAATCCAAAGGGAACGGGATGCCAGATGCCAAGGAGGAAAACAGTTTGAACAAGGTCATAATCACCACCCCTTTGATCACAGAGAGCTGGGAAATGCTGCTTTTAACCCCACGAGTATTTTACCTGCCCATGCTGCAATAAACACGATTCTTTTGCAAGATGAAAGAACCCCACGTGTCCCTCTCACTTCTTCGGGTGCATTGTCAGGAGCAGAGCCTGGGTTTAGTGATTTAGTGGGAATGCTGGAGACCTTTTACAGCCCTTCTCCTGCCTCAGGCTGGAGCTGGCTCCCCTCAGCTGGGGGAAGACGTGAGCCTGCCGTGAAGAGCCTGGGCAGTAGGAAGAGTCTGAGAGGCAGAGGAAGAGCTCTGGGGGTAGGGGATGAGGAAGAGAGGCTGTGGCCAGGCTGAAGGGAGGAGGCAGGGGCTGTTGGGACCCCAAATCTGCAAGCAGGACTCAGCAAGTCGTGGCAATGCCCAGCAGGAAGGCAGCTCCCATGCCAGGGGGTCCGTGCAGGTGAGTGCTGCAAAATGCTGCCACAGAGGTTTTGGAGATGCTGGGATCTTGGGACGTAGCACGGGGAAGGGTAAAATCCAGCAGCATCTCTGCAGATTTATCTCCTGTCCTCTTCATGGCCCCGTTGCTCATCATTCAGATGCCAGGTGAAGACCTCTGACTACTTTTCAAGTGAAAAATGACTGATTAAAACCAGAGGACAAGTGACTCAAAGGTAAGGAGCAGGGTAAGGAAAATATTGGAAGCTCATTCGAAGAGCAAAAATGCATCTGGGTTCTGAAAAATTCTCCTAGGCTTGTCGTTCCTTTCAGTCAGGCATTTTGTGGTTGTTACCTTTGGAATGAAAAGAAATCTATTTATTTAATATAATTTAGGCTTCCTCAAAGAAATGAGAGAAAATCTGGCTGATTATCATCTTTGGGGACTGCACTTTTATTACTTTTCTTCTACTTCACAACCACTGATTAACATTCTGCTGCAAAGAGCCTAGCCTAATACCAGCCTCTGCTGAGAAACAGCAGGTTTTATTAGGGTTTTATTTATTGTACTAAAAATGTAACTTCATTCACCTCTAGGATGCAGAGGAGAAGGAAAAAGGGAAATAAAAAAAAAGGACTGAACGGGCTGATGAGCAACCCAGTCCCCTGGATTTTTCTGTACCAGTGGAAATAAGGGTTGCCCAGTTATTCAGGAGTCACCAACATCAGTATAACACCCGGGGTTGGTTTTTTTTGAGTATCATTAACCTAAGATTGCAAATTATTAATAGTTCTGAAAATGAAAATGATCAGAGGCTACTTTGCTAATATACGAATATCAGTTACGTGCAGTGTGAAAGAGGAGGTCAGGAAAGGAAATAATGAAGCTCAAACAGTAAAAATGCTTCTATAAAAATGAAAACAAAACTGAAATTGGATTAATTTTCCTTTTGAAATTGGATTAATTTTCCTTTTGAAATTGGATTAATTTTCCTTTTGAAATACTTAGACAATGTTGTGGAAACGTCTGAGCTCGTTTGAACTCCTCGACACAAATCATTCACCAGGTTGAAATTCTTATTCAGAACAAATTCTAGAAGTTTGGTAAAAAGAATTCAACAGTTGCAGTTTGTGATCCGTGGGATGAGCAATCCATCTTTTCATGGGCCTCCTTAAGGCTTGGAGAGAAGTACCACAGAGAATAAAACCCACAGCAAATGATTTCATCAGTCTTAATACTCATAGAAAAAAAATTTATGATTCCATTCATGTGTTTTTGCAGTTCTGAGGGTGTGATGGAAACAGCCTCTTTTTTTTTTAAATTAAAATGTCAGGTGCAACAAAATACAATAAAATGAGTCTTTCAAGAGCATTCAGGCAATGCATGTTCCCTTTGCTTTGGCTCAGAATGCACAGGAATTGCTAAATATCACCAATAGCATTACTAGCTCCAGGTAGATTTTCAGGAGCTGCAAGAAACATGCCAGGGATCAGACACCATTTTTTAAAAAAATATTATTATTATATTTATTTTATTTTTTTTAGATGTTTTCCCCCCTCCAATGCTGCTGGTAGAAAAGCAGTTCACAGGATTTTGGCAGCTTGCCTGGTCTCCTTCTGCAGCCTCCTCGGAGCCATTTCTTTTGATTTGAGCAACAGCTTGGGAATATGGAGGAACACAGGGAAAGCCCTTCAGGAACTTGCCTCCTGTGAAAACCTTTGGGCTCTTCACCTTGTCCATCTCCTGCAGGAAGAAAGGCACAAGTGGCTGGTCCCCGACGCACGCGGTGCTCCCAGCAGCAGGCGGGAGGGATGGATCACACCATGCTCAGCTGCTGGGGAATTTAAACTCCCTCTGTGAGGCAAGTGAAGCAGAACTGGATTGTGAGCACTGCCAATGCAAGAAGGAGAAAGTCTCCATTTGTAGATCTTATATCATGGAGATGAGGCAGCAGTTAAACAGCACAGGGGCTCCTGAAGCCAAGCAGGTGATAACCAGAGCGATCTCCGGACTGCTGGAGAGCTTCAGGAGTCCCCAGGAAGACCTTGAAGCTATGAGATATAATCCTGACTGGGCAGACACAGTAGCTTTGCAACTCCTCCTTCAGCTACAAGAAGCCACCCTTCAAACTGACTTCATGCCAGCAGCTATGAGCTTTCAAACCATGCAGCACCAATTTCTTGCCATTCTGAACTACGCTATCCTCTCATCAGAGAGCCTACACAAGTGCTGGATGGATAATGCCAACCTGTCCCTTCACTTCACCCACTATGAAGGAATCTCTTTCTCCACCCCATTCCTTAGCTCTGATGAGTTGGTGCCCGTTGAAGCCTTGGTGAAGGGACTGCACTATGCACAGAGCTGCCTCCTGCAGAAGGGGCAGGAGAAGCTCATTGAGAAATCTAAAGAAATCCTGGCCACAACGAGCCTTAAGATCAGTCTGTTAGTGATACCCTGCCTCATTTACCCCATATTCCTGGTGTCCTTCAAGCAAATGACAGACTGGATCCACAATTATGCCAGGAACCTCAAGGAAAAGACAGATGACTTGAAAAGGGAGAGGCGTCTAGCTGAGGATCTCCTGCATCAGATGCTGCCAAAATCTGTGGCCAAGCAGCTGAGAAAATGCCAAAAAGTTGAGGCAGAAAACTATGACCAGGTGAGCAAATGGATGCTGCCCCAAGGAGAGAAAAGTGTTCACCTAAACCAGCACCTACCTTGCACTGTTTTGAGGAACCTGGTTTTGCACCCCGAGTTGAGTGTGGGTAGAAATCCAAATACTCACCATGTCTTTTGGAAGAGCTGTGCAATCGTCTGTGAAGCTCTTGGGCAGAGGGGCAAGGAAGAAGGGCTGAAAATTCCAGAGTTGTAGCTTTAGATGTCAAAGATCCTGTATTGACAAGTTGTCTTCTTTGGGTTCAAGAGCCTGTTCATGACAGCCAGCCCAGCAGCATTAGATCACGAGCAGATAGGAGCAAGAAAAGTGTTTCCCTCTTGTAAAATGGGAAGAATCCTAAAAAATCCACACAGGACAAACCCTGTCTGTACTTCCAGTTTAATTCCCTAAACAACTGAAAGGAGACCATGGGACTTAGAGAAGTAGACAAGAGGCACAGATGATCTTGTAGCCTCGGGGGGGTACCTGTGCCAAAACCCTCTGACATCAAAACAAGGGCAGAGTTTGGCCAGGCTGCTGTTGAGGCTGAATTCAGCAGCTGTGCTGCACAGCCCACAGCCCAAACCCACAGGCTGCAGACATTGCAAGTCTAGTCACTCCTTTTCCCTGGCTGCTCAGTTGCTTTCAGCTGTGAAACCCAATAATACAGGTTTGCATTTCATTTGTAGGTGTCATTATCGAAATAGAGACCTGTAATTGCACAAGGAATTATAAATCACAATAGTCATGACATCAAAAGTAGCTGCAGCAAGGCAGGGAGTGAAAAGGTGGCTCTTCTGGATTAATTGGTATTACCAAAGGCAAATAAAAGAACAATTTTAGTTTAAACATTGACACAGTTCAGGCAGCATGGAGAGGAAACATTTAAGTCCCTTCCTCAGTTCAGTTATATTATTATTATTCTCTTGTTCTTTCTTTTTATAAATTTTATTTCTTCCAAGAGCTAATTTGTCCATAAATTACTTGATCATAAAGATAAACATCATTTGTTGAGAAACAAAATCCGGTTAATATTTCCCAATTCCACAAGAGCAGAGAGAGCAGTTGAGGTTTTATTTCAGTTTGCTCGGATATCTGGGTTTGATCTCTACCACAGTTTAAATCACTTTAAAAAAAATAAATGAAAAATCAGGCCCTGCTTCTTAGAGAAATCTGTTGATCACTGCTCACAAGATTCCAAGTGTTTGACTTTCAGTCTCCCATCTAGCACAGGGCATTCAGAGAAGGGCAGATGATAAACTTTGGAGATAAGCAGCATTTTTAATAAGTGGCAGAGAACAACCCAGAGCCAGAGCTTGTTAATTTAGGATTGTACCTGTCCTGGTTCTACGTGCAGCCTGTGCTGCTCAGCATTTCCCATCTCCTCAAACTCTTCCAAGGTTCCTCCACTGTTACTCAGCTCCACACCTTCCTTCTCCCTGTGACAGGTGACAATCTTCTTCTCAGACATCGTGGGGTTCACGAGCATCGCTGCCTCCTGCACTCCCCTGCAGGTTGTGGAGATGCTCAATAACCTCTACGTCTGCTTTGACAGCAGGATCGAGTCTTACGACGTGTACAAGGTGAGTACAAACCTGCAGGCAAAGCATCTAGAAGCTGCTGAGAACTTTGTTCTCTAGTAAATATCAAATACACCAGGCCAGCTGGCTGAAAGCCACCAAAATCCCAGACCTGCCATCAAAAGGGACTTGGCCAGTGGTGACCAGCCACGAGAGACTTTATTCTGCTCTCCTGTTGAAATAAAATCTCAGTGACACGTGCCCCTTCCCATCAGGTGGAAACCATTGGGGATGCCTACATGGTAGTGAGTGGCTTGCCAGAGAGGAATGGC